TCAGATACTTTAAGACTTTTACTCAAGTAATATTTTTAGAGAGGACTTTAACTTTTACCAAAGTATTTTTATGATAAGATACTTGTACTTTTACTCAAGTAATATTTTTAGAGAAGACTTTAACTTTTACCAAAGTATTTTTATGATAAGATACTTGTACTTTTACTCAAGTATCACTCTGAGGTACTTTATACAACACTGAAATTAAGGAGTTTTAACGTGAACAGTAGTTTTATGAGAAAGTTTTTTTGCTGTTTTATTGAATCTGTTCTTACTTTTTCTTTTATTTGCTGGCGGGCTTTTGACACAGAAAAATAAAAAACACATATAACATATTGTCAGTCTTTGCAGTAAAATCGTTACTGTACCATTAAATGACATCACTGCTCTCCACAGAAACAGATCACAGGTTTCTCTTTCACCATCAGGATGCAGATTCGCTGTAAAAAAATGTCGAACCAACAGATTTAAGAACTCCTTTTTACCTGCTGTTATCATCATTTTAAATACTTCTTGTTGATTGTTGTGTGTTTGTAGTTTTTACACCTACACCATGATGGTTTTTATGGTTTTTTACTGTACTTGTGGTTGATGATTGTTTTTGTTCCTGTTGGCTGACACAAATTGCCCCATGGGGACATTAAAGATTACTTGAACTTGAACTTAACACTTAACAGTGTTGTTACATGACACCACGCAGTGTTGAAAGAAGTATTCTAAAAAGCTCCGCCCTCTTCCACCTCAGGTCAAACAGAGGAGAAGGGGTTATCTGCAGAGTCAAAGTGGGCGTGTCACAAGAGTGGGCGTGTCTAAAGCATAAACACTGTGGACTACAGGTCTACATGACGGTGTCCTTAGACCCTGCTTGACCTCTTTACATCCTGATCGTGACCCCAACACTAAGGTTAACCAGGACAAATGTGACCCAAGTAGGGGTCTCCAGAAAAAGTGGTGCCGTACAGTAACGCCCCTTTTGTTCTTGTCCAATCAGGTGGTGCCGTACAGTAACGCCCCTTTTGTTCTTGTCCAATCAGGTGTGTCCCTTTAACAAAGTCTGTCAAATCAAGTGTTTCGCTTTAGAATCGCCTTTCCTTGTGACACGCCCA